CAGGGTTTGATAAAAAATAAAAGTTACAACAGGGTAGAATGAGATATACAAAATTTCGGTATCTAAACCGATCAGGGTTTGATAAAAATAAAGTTACAACAGGGTAGAATGAGATATACAAAATTTCGGTATTGAAACCGATCAGGGTTTGATAAAAAATAAAAGTTACAACAGGGTAGATAGAATGAGATATACAAAATTTCGGTATCTAAACCGATCAGGGTTTGATAAAAAATAAAAGTTACAACAGGGTAGAATGAGATATACAAAATTTCGGTATCTAAACCGATCAGGGTTTGATAAAAAATAAGATAAGATAAAGGGTAGAATGAGATATACAAAATTTCGGTATCTAAACCGAACAGGGTTTGATAAAAAATAAATGTTACAACAGGGTAGAATGAGATATACAAAATTTCGGTATCTAAACCGATAAGGGTTTGATAAAAAATAAAAGTTACAACAGGGTAGACTGAGATATACAAAATTTCGGTATCTAAACCGATCAGGGTTTGATAAAAATAAAAGTTACAACAGGGTAGAATGAGATATACAAAATTTCGGTATCTAAACCGAACAGGGTTTGATAAAAAATAAAAGTTACAACAGGGTAGAATGAGATATACAAAATTTCGGTATCTAAACCGATAAGGGTTTGATAAAAAATAAAAGTTACAACAGGGTAGACTGAGATATACAAAATTTCGGTATCTAAACCGAACAGGGTTTGATAAAAATAAAAGTTACAACAGGGTAGAATGAGATATACAAAATTTCGGTATCTAAACCGATAAGGGTTTGATAAAAAATAAAAGTTACAACAGGGTAGAATGAGATATACAAAATTTCGGTATCTAAACCGATAAGGGTTTGATAAAAAATAAAAGTTACAACAGGGTAGGATGAGATATACAAAATTTCGGTATCTAAACCGATCAGGGTTTGATAAAAAATAAAGATAAGATAAAGGGTAGACTGAGATATACAAAATTTCGGTATCTAAACCGATAAGGGTTTGATAAAAAATAAAAGTTACAACAGGGTAGACTGAGATATACAAAATTTCGGTATCTAAACCGAACAGGGTTTGATAAAAATAAAAGTTACAACAGGGTAGAATGAGATATACAAAATTTCGGTATCTAAACCGATAAGGGTTTGATAAAAAATAAAAGTTACAACAGGGTAGAATGAGATATACAAAATTTCGGTATCTAAACCGATAAGGGTTTGATAAAAAATAAAAGTTACAACAGGGTAGGATGAGATATACAAAATTTCGGTATCTAAACCGATCAGGGTTTGATAAAAAATAAAGATAAGATAAAGGGTAGACTGAGATATACAAAATTTCGGTATCTAAACCGATAAGGGTTTGATAAAAAATAAAAGTTACAACAGGGTAGAATGAGATATACAAAATTTCGGTCTTGAAACCGATCAGGGTTTGATAAAAATTAAAAGTTACAACAGGGTAGAATGAGATATACAAAATTTCGGTATCTAAACCGAACAGGGTTTGATAAAAAATAAAAGTTACAACAGGGTAGAATGAGATATACAAAATTTCGGTATCTAAACCGAACAGGGTTTGATAAAAAATAAAAGTTACAACAGGGTAGGATGAGATATACAAAATTTCGGTATCTAAACCGATCAGGGTTTGATAAAAAATAAAGATAAGATAAAGGGTAGACTGAGATATACAAAATTTCGGTATCTAAACCGAACAGGGTTTGATAAAAAATACAAGTTACAACAGGGTAGAATGAGATATACAAAATTTCGGTATCTAAACCGAACAGGGTTTGATAAAAAATAAAAGTTACAACAGGGTAGACTGAGATATACAAAATTTCGGTATCTAAACCGATCAGGGTTTGATAAAAATACAAGTTACAACAGGGTAGAATGAGATATACAAAATTTCGGTATCTAAACCGATAAGGGTTTGATAAAAAATAAAAGTTACAACAGGGTAGACTGAGATATACAAAATTTCGGTATCTAAACCGTTCAGGGTTTGATAAAAAATAAAAGTTACAACAGGGTAGAATGAGATATACAAAATTTCGGTATCTAAACCGATCAGGGTTTGATAAAAAATAAAGATAAGATAAAGGGTAGACTGAGATATACAAAATTTCGGTATCTAAACCGATCAGGGTTTGATAAAAAATAAAAGTTACAACAGGGTAGAATGAGATATACAACATTTCGGTGTCTCAACCGATCAGGGTTTGATAAATAATAAAAGTTACAACAGGGTAGAATGAGATATACAAAATTTCGGTATCTAAACCGATAAGGGTTTGATAAAAAATAAAGATAAGATAAAGGGTAGACTGAGATATACAAAATTTCGGTATCTAAACCGAACAGGGTTTGATAAAAAATAAAAGTTACAACAGGATAGAATGAGATATACAAAATTTCGGTCTTGAAACCGATCAGGGTTTGATAAAAAATAAAAGTTACAACAGGGTAGGATGAGATATACAAAATTTCGGTATCTAAACCGAACAGGGTGTGATAAAAATTAAAAGTTACAACAGGGTAGACTGAGATATACAAAATTTCGGTATCTAAACCGAACAGGGTTTGATAAAAAATAAAAGTTACAGCAGGGTAGAATGAGATATACAAAATTTCGGAATTGAAACCGATCACGGTTTGATAAAAAATAAAAGTTACAACAGGGTAGAATGAGATATACAATTTTTTGTTCAGGGTGTGATAAAAAGTAAAAGTTAGTCTTGATCATTAAAAATTCTAATCGGAAAAAATCCTAGTAAAAAATCTCGTATCGATGGTGATAAGCAAGTGATAAAAATAGTGCAGAAATAAAAAAATGCTCAAAAAATGTTGCACATATAAAAGAAATTAAATGAAAAACGAAGCCACTAACCTTTTTAAGGTCTCTTAGCAACGACGACAAATTTAAATACATATAAATATATATATATATATATATATAGGAAATTGCAAGCACATAAATAATAATATAACATAAATAAATCATCAATGAATTATAATATATGAAATGAACACATTGCTTATCACCGCATCCGCATAAATATCATCATGGGCTATGAAAATTATTTATTTTTTTAAGTAAAAAAATAATATAATTCCCATAAGTTGAAAATAAAAGAAATCCTACCTTAGCAGCATCTTCGCCCATTTATCTCTCTGCAATATTATAAATATCTGCAAATTCTGCATCTGCAACTCTCTCCAAACTGAAGTGATGTGGGCTCGAAGTGATATTATCATATCAAAATCTGAAAATAATGAAAAATATAACGATAGATTTGTTTCAAAACGTTTAAAAATAACTATTAATTAATTCATTAGAATTTTATATTATTTTTAAGTCATATACAATAATAAGTCTATGATGGAATTATGTCATATTTTAATAAAATATATATAAAAATGATATGAAATAATTCCATTACATATTTATTATTTTATATAACTTGAAATTAATATAAAAAAATTATAAATGTGTATAATTATTGAATAAATAATAATTGTAAATATTTAAATATAAAGCAGAAGTACTGGTTTGAACATAAACTGAAATTAGCAACGGCCGCCATCTTGTTTTGCAAAAGCCCCGCTAGATGGCTTGTCAATAGTTTGCGAAAAAGTTGCAAATAATAAATAATAATAATATGCAATTTGATGAAAATGAATTCAATTTGTTTAATGAAAATGATTTATATTGGAATTATCGTTGCAAATACGATTGTAATGTTAAAAAGACGATTCAAACTTTGGTCAATTGACAGCTGAGGCGCCGTCAGGACCGAAGAATTTGTCGTTGCTTTTTTGAACAAAAAAAACTTTACAGGCACAGTTTTTGAATGTAAATGAATTTATTACACCAAAGTTTATTGAATTTTCATCAATAATAGGTTGTGCAAGCGGTTATATTGCTTAAATCAGGCAAAAACCACCGGTTGTTGTTATGGGCGCCATCTTGGATTTTTGAAAAGCAGCAAAATTTGAATTGCGAAAAATTGCAAAAATCTCAATAAATATAGAGGAAAAGTGCAAGAATATTAAATAATATATAATAAATTCATAATAAATCAACAATTAAGCACGCCCAAGACATTTTTACAGACATAAACATTTGTTTGCATATCTGTACCAAAGGGCGTCCGTTGTTATGCTAATAAATGTCAATAATATTATGGCCCCCATCTTCGATTTTCCATAATATCAAATAATATGTAGTAAATTTATAATAATTCAACAATTAAACACGCCTAAGACATTTTTACAGACGTAAACACAGTTTACATATCAATACCAAACGGCGTCAGTTGTTGTGCTAATAACTGTCATAAATATTATGGCCGCCATCTTGAATTTTTAAAAAGTAACAAAATTTAAATTGCAAAAAAACGTAAAAATTTCAATAAATATCGAGTAAAGGTGCCATAATATTAAATAACATGTAATAAATTTATAATAAATCAACAATAAAGCACGCCTAAGACATTTTTACAGATGTAAAGACTGTTTACATATCTGTACCAAACGGCGTCAATTGTTGTGCTAATAAAACATAAAAATTGTGCAAAATAATGAAAAATAAATGCTCTTACCTTAACACACTTAAAAAACACTACTTGGTTTCAAAATAATAATATTTACTATTCACTTTGATCACTTGCACTGCACCACTGCGCGAGATGTTTACTGTTCGAGAGCTGACGCGCTAATGAGCCGCCCGCTAATTAGCACCCCTTTATATAGGCAGGTTGGAGGGTACTCGCGTAGTCGAAAGAGCCTCTGAGAGTAATCTTTGCCCCGGTATAAAATGTATTAATTATTGGGTTTTAAATCAAATTTTATGGGTAAAACTTGTTTAAAAAAACTAGTTAAAACACAATTACACATACTAATTAAGCACTATTCGCTGGGTAATTAAACATTCGTTGGGTAATTAAACATTACAACAGCCAGTTGTATGAACTCAAAGGATCAAAACAATAACAAACAATTTGAAATAAATTCGTTAAAAACACAATGACACTAAGTGAAATTGATTAAAAACATTATGCCTAGCACAATTAGTTTGTGTAAAACTTTTGGAACCGAATTTTACACTTTTTTTGCAATTTTGAGTTTATATAAATATATAACCACAAAATTTTTGTTATTCTTTTAGTTTGAAACGTCAAAATTAAATTTATCTTATCTGAAAGCTGTGAAGTTAGCCAAAATAGTAAGTGTGGAAAACATCAAAGATAAATAAACTTGTATCATCTTATTTGATTATAGTTCTGTGTGTGTGTTGTTATGTATTCCGTGCTCGGTAATGTGTCAATCCGTGTCAGTAGTCAAAGCTGAAAGAACAGTATCAGAAATATATTTCCAGCGCTGAATAATAATATTGCAATATTAATACGATTAATACCAATACTATGTTTATAACCCGTGCACTACCCAATCTTTGAGTCAACTATAATTTTATACGTATTTTATAAAAATTATCAATACTACAGTTTATACTAGTAATAGTATTGCATCCTACGTGATAGGTAAGTTATGAGAATATAAAATCAATTTAGAAGTGCAATGTTTTTATATATATATGCTTATAAAGTGTTGTATATTTTTCTAACTCTAGGTCAATTCATTATGGCAGCAGATGATATGGAAACATCAGCTGCCCAGTCTCAGCCTGTATCTCTAAATAACCCACTAGAACAATTTGTTTTATTAGCTAAAACTGCTAAAGGAGCAGCTTGCATAGAACTTATAAAACAAGTTTTGGAGGCACCTGGAGTTCATGTATTTGGAGAATTATTAGATATGCCGAATATAAAAGAGGTTTTAATTCATGACTTCCAATAAGAATGACAATTACCTATTTCAGATATAAAAGATTTTTTATTTCAAAATAATTAACTAAAGTTGTGTGCAAAATGCTTTTTAAATGTATGTTCATAAGCTAGCATGTTTTGTAGCAACTAAATGGCAATGTCATTCTCCACAGTTCTTTACTTAAAATAGCCGATTACTCAATAAAGATTTGTACAATGAGTATGAATAAAGTTTTTATATAGCTGAATAATTTATATAGTTAAATAAATTATTGAGCAATTAAAACTATGTTCTAAATATTTGCTATTCAAGTTTCTTAATTTATAATTTTTAATATAATAATTTGCTTGTTTTTATCATTTTTAATCTTTTTTAAATAACTCTCTAATATATTGTGAGTATGCATATATATATCTAATGTAAACAAACACCTTCTAGCTGGAGAATGGACCACATGCAAAATGTTATAAAACATTGAATTTATTTGCTTATGGAACTTACAAACAATATCTGGATAATAAATCAGATTATCTAGATTTATCAGTGATAATGTGTAAGAAACTGCAGCATTTAACTATAGTATCTTTAGCAATTAAAAACAAATGCATATCATATAATATACTATTGGAGGAGTTGCATATTTCTAATGTAAGAGATTTGGAAGATTTAATAATAGAGGCCATATATGCGGATATTATTCATGGGAAATTAGACCAGAAAAATAAATTGCTTGAGGTATTGTCTAATATATTTTTATAGTATGATATGAATTAAAGAAAGTTTCTCAGATACTTTATTGATGAAAGCTTTGAATTATTTAGAAAATCATTTATGTTGTACTACTTACTTGAAGAGAAATATTTAGTTTATAACATAATTTATTCACATATCCTTCCTTTGGAAATTTGTGAGAAAGAAATACTCTCATTCATATTTAACACATTGTGTATTTAATACAGAAATAAGGAGCAATAGTTCGATAGCTTATTAATAAAGTATTATTAACGCAATTATGTAATTTACTGGCACGCATGTTTGTGAATAAATTAATTTATTTATTGTGGAATATAGTGAATTAAATCAAAAGATTATGAGAGAGATATTAAAAAACATATTGATTAATTAATAATCATTTCTCTTCAAGCTTCATTTCAGTTCAAAATTGGTATGGGGTTATTATTATTAGCAATATACATTTTTACTTTGAATCATAAATTTTAATTAGAAATATTTTCAATATCACTAGCCATCCATTCTAACTTTGAACGTATATGCAACAATTAATTTAATGAGATTTTATTCACTAATTTGTTGTTTCTCATGGGTAAAGGAAACTAAATATAACTGCAGTATCAAATGCATGAATAGTTTGATTGAATCCATGTACCTCGAACAATTGATAATGGACTGATTTAATTGACTCAAAATGCATTAGATTCGGATTTATTGATGGTTAATCAGTTTTTGATATGAAGTAAAGTCAGCCATATGGTTTTTATAAACCTTATATGATTTTTATGTAGTTTTCATAGCTTTCAACAATCTGTAATTTGTACCAAATATTTGATTGTTGTATATTGAACCAGAAATTTATCTTGAGGCACGGTGCTGTACACAACTACTTTTAGTAAAGCTATATGTATAATTTTTAAACATATACCTTTTTCCTAAAATTAGGTTGATTTTGCTATTGGTCGTGATATTAAGCCGGGTGATGTTAGTTTAATTGTGTCAACGCTTCAAGAATGGTGTGATTCTTGTGAGGCTGTTTTGGGATGTATTGAATCTCAAATTCATAGAGCTAATTCTGAAAAATGTGCAAGAATCAAACATAAGGCTGACATAGAACAACAGGTATAATTTACTATACATTACCAATTAATCCAAGCATATCTGTTTGTAAATATATGATTTATTTGTTAAATTTAATCCTGATTTATCTACAACGAAAACATTTCAGTTTTTAATATCTAGCAATCAATGACTGCTAGACTGCTAAAATGTTTAAGCTAAATTTTTAACTTACTAATTCGTTTTTCTTTTAATTTCCAGATAAATAATCTTAAAAAATCTATAAAATCACAGTCAAACGACCCTGATGAGGCTATGTCATCTGAACCAAGAGAAGTTGTAGGCCAAGACAAAATAAAGAAATCGTCCAAATGCAAAGGCATTCGAGTTGGTGGTAAGTTTTGGAATAAGTAACATTATAGCAAAAACAATTAAATAAATTATCAAAGGCGGCGTATTAATTTTAGATTGCTAATAAATATAAATTCAATTGTGGTGAATCCAAATTATTTAACAATTAGTTTTGTGCATTAGTTTCAAAAATAAAGAAAACTTGTAAATATTATAATTTTCCTGTATCAAGTATTTAAAATAAATTACTTTAAACATTTGTGGATTTTAATATTAAACTCTTCATTTATTATTAATCTTTTTGTTTTATAATAACTATAATCATACTTATTTTAGGTACAAAAGTTTCTCAATAAATGAATTCTACTATATGAAGAAGTTATGTTTGGATTCTGCTCATTATATTTAACTAACATGAATCGGAATGAATTTTTTATTTAACTTGTATTAATCTACTAACTAATAAATATTTGTGAATATATTTACATGTGTTGCAAATATAATTTTCATACAAATTTTGTAAAATTATTTTATCCTTGGCACAATACTTGTTTTAACAAACCTATATTTGCAATCGGTTATTATTATAGTTATAATCATTATGACATATACCTGACCATTACCTACTATTATGACTTACACACAAAATGGTGTGTAAGTAAATCAATTATATTTAATAATTGCCAAACTATTTACTACATTATGTAGATCTGTTTTTCTTTTTTTTTGAAAGCAAATAAAAATTGTATGACATTGTGCCTAGGCAAATTGCTGGAACTTCCCGTACCGTAACGAAATGTACGATCAAGGAATATGAAATGTATTTAAAAGAATTATTATAAATACTGTAACATTGTCTACTATTTATAAGAATATTATATAAACCGAATTACAAAGTTAAAATTATTTATTTGAAGTATATAAGTGAGCTTTAGAACTTTAGCCAGAACTAAAATAATATCTGAATTAGTTTCGATATACAAAAAAAAAAAAAATCCAAAAGCAATTATTTTGTCAAAACATTCAAATCGGATGCTTAGTTCTCTCAAAAACTGACATTTTTTGCACGTTTAGCTCGGTATCTCCAAAACGGCTAGACCTGCCTTTGCTTAAAACTAATCACCACTTTTCATTGCGAATCAAATGTTTTTTGAACCATTCAAATCGGTGGTCCGTGCGCTCGAAAATGTGGACGAAAAAATGCGGACACACAAAACTCACACACACACATCCATTTTTCTGAGGTATGCCAAAATGTTTAGAAACTACTGAAATATGATAATATGTAAAAAATTTCATTTTCGATTATCGGTCCATTACTATTAATAAGTTAATAAATGTAATGAATTTTGTTATGAACCGATAATTACAATGTTGTTTTATCTAATTACTGAAAAAAAATGTAATAAAATGTATCTGCTGGAAAATAAGAATTTGGAAATAATTTACTGTTTCAAATGATATTAATGAAATTTTTTGGGCAAATGTTCTCAATGATGAATTCTGATTATTAAAGGGTGTGTCGGAGTAATATCTTTTTTAGCTATTGATATGAGACAAATGTAGCAGTGTAGCAGAAGTGTTCTATTACATCATGTAATTAATATATTAAAGGCAAAGTTTTCTGCTCTCAAATTTACTCTAACATTTTCACACTATAATTAAACTCTCAAATTAGAAGTAATTTCAAACAATTTACTTTGCTACAAAAATATAAGTATATATACTTGGGCTTTAATTAATTTTATAAAATTAATTAAAGCCCAAACATCATAGATAGAAAAGTAACTCTTGATTCGATAAAAATGTTGACAACAGACATTGTTCTTTAATTCTAGTTTATTTAAACAGTTATGTATTCATTTATACTAATATACATTAATTGTATTTTCTATACTTTAAACCTTTTGATCAAACCATCATTTAAAATAAATTCTGTTGCGGCATGAACCTATCGGTTAATTATATTACAAATATTATGAATATCTGCCCAACTTGTTATTTATTGTTTAGGCTTCAAACTAGATTATCAAGCATCTTTTGGGAACAATAGAAGTATTTTTCTACAATGTGTATCAGATAAAATAATGAAAAACTGGCATGATAAATAAATAATGAAAATGAATGTTAGTAAAGAAATCAACTATTATTTTATCAAAACAATTTTATATATGTATTATACATAATTTAACATTTCATATAGTAACATAAACAGCAAGAAAATATACATATATTGATTGCACATAAGACCATTCTTTCATAGATTATGGTTTAATATGATAACAACTTTTCGCTTCAATTTAATGAAATTATAATTTATTAAAGATGAATTATGCTCTTACAAGAACGTTAGTGAAAAAGTGAAATAATTAGACTAAAAATGCTTTGAATTTTGATATACAGAATACATCAGAAAGATTTACATATTTATCAAGCAACTTGAATTAATGTTATGAAACCCACAATTAATATTGTTGATTGACTATCAATAAAAAAAATGTGAATTAATTGATAAATCAATCAATCAAAATGATAGATTTACATTGCTATAATATTACATAATGATAAAAAGCAACTTTGGATAAACAAAGTATGTAAGTAATGCAAATTTTTATATTACACAGTTAGCAAATATAAAAGAATCAACATGGCATCAAATTTATCTTATATTCTTTTTGATTGTTTCTAACTTTAACAATGCAGATCATAATAATTCAATATTTATATGTATAAGAAATATATATATATTCTTAATAAGTAACATCACATTCATGCTTAAATTGGCACTGTTGGTATATTAAATGTGAACAAATAAGTGACACATTAATGAGAAAATATTTCTGAAATCTCAATATAAATTTTTCAATATTAGTCTATCATTGTGCTTTTCAATTTTGTATAAGGAGTCCTGTGGAAGATTTGCAACTACATCGTCAGTGATAGTAACTAAAATACCTCCAGGGCCTTCCTTGTATAAACCAGAGTATTGCCAAATTCCAGCCAATGCATCAATCTTTTGAGCAAATTCAGCCTGTGTACAAGAATGCAGATATAATGCATGGAAAGGTCCACCTGTTTCTGTGCAAACATAGCAAGTTAATGCAGGTGAAGGAGGCCTTGCATGCAATGCATTATATAATCTAATGCCATCAGCCACTCCACAAATTTGTATTAAGTCATCTCGAGATAAACACAACACATCTTGACCAGAAAAATTTAATAAAGCTGGCTGCAAGGAGGCAAATCGGTGTGATTGCAACCAATGGGATAAGCGAGGTGGGGAAGCATCCTTTAAAGAAACATCTAATAAATCTTCTTCTACACAAGGCTGCATTGGAGAAGAAATTAGAACAGAAGTAGGCTCTGGAGATGGACTAGAAAGTGCGGACACAATACTTGTGCAAGGCACATCATTTAAAACAGTGCAATCGTAACTAGGTTGATATTTCTCTTGCTCAGAAGGTGGTCGTCTCATTATTTTTTCTCGATCCTGTTTATGTTTTCGGTCAGCACCTTTTAATTTAAAAACCTTTATCTGGCACATTGCAACATGTAGTGCCTTTTCAGAGTCACCATCGCCTACATATGTTTCAACTTGAATGCGAAAGGGAACACCCTTCTCTCCGCCGTGTTTCTTGGCTGTAAACTCTGTTGATATGCAATTAACTTTAACATATACTCCAACTTCTTTCATGGGATCCCACATTACTTCTACTATATTTAATGCACCTGGTGCTTGTGGTTGTGCTACATGACATAGACCATAGGAAAGTGGCAAATCTACCTCTACTAAACGTTCTCCAGGATGTGAGGATTGCCATTGAGACATCTGTTCACGCTCCATATATTGAAGTCTTCGTTCATGGAAACATATACGAATTATACTTTTCAAAATCTTTCCGCGGTAAGCACTTAAATCTCCTAATTTCTTTAAACGAATTTCATAAGACTGACCTTGATTTAGATATGTTAAAGTATCTTCATTGCATTTTGTCGCTGTACTAGTAGCTGCTGCTAAGACATATTGAAATCTGCTATCCCCAAAGGCAAAACGAGTAAGATCAGTATCTGCTGGACGCCTGTCCAACAGAAATCCATCTTGTCCTTCTTGAAGCAATTGTTGTAAACTGACATCATTGTTATCACTGTTATTTGTGTTTATCAGAGGTCTATCCAATGTACCATTTGGTGGTCGGCTAGTTGAAGATACAGGTAACTCAGTATTTGTTGGTGAAGGTGCTTCTTGCTTAAATTTAGTCAATGATGGAAACAAAAGTGCTTCACTTAAATTATATGATGAATTTAGTTCAGTACCTAAATCCAGATCAATGTCATCAACTGGCCAGCCCATTCGTTACAAATTCTGTATATAAAAATCATATCAAGTTTATAGCTTTTCAGATAAGATATAACTTGAAATAATAGACTAATAATATATATATATATATATATATTATTAAGATAAATTGTTTCTGAATATTCTAAAAGTTATTTTATTATTGTGAGCTTTAGAATTAAAGTATTTCGCAAGAACAATTATGAAAATCTAAATTAAAATATAAATTAATTTGAATATACAAGCTCAACCTGCAATAGCAAAATTCATAAAATATTCAATTCATTCAAATAAAACAACACATAAGAAGTTCTCTACATACTATGTAGAAATGTAGACATTTAATAAGATCTTGGTAAATCTTCATTTCAAATTTTTCTAGTAAATCAAGCACTTGATATGTGAAAACTGTTTGCAGAAATAAATGCAGGGAATGATAAAACTATTGCTTTTACTATATAATGTATATACTTTGATATTGATATTTCTGATTGTTATGAAAATTATAAATTCACAATACTTTGCATCAAATGAATATTGTTAGCGATACAAGCACTCACCAAATTTACTATTTCTAGATACTTGACTGAAATTTCATTGGAATGAAAATAAGTGCTTTTATTTACATGAGTTGATAAGTTTCATAACATAAACCCATTACCATTTCTAAATCATGTAAATTTGATAGAATACACGCTAAAAAACATCTATACAAACATACATTTATATACATTCAATCATATATATTTACATATACACACAATAATAGAGAGTTGCATATCTAAGCTAATTTGACAATCGCTTATCAGCGCTGTGTGAAGTAGTGATAAACGTTTAATCAATCAGCGTTTTTTCTGTCAACCGTTTGCTCTTCGTTAACAAATCAACCGTTTCTTCCCAACGAAAAAAGATTTATGATTCAAGAACTAGTTAAATGCTGCCTTGGTTTGTATGAGAATTGAATACATAAATGTATATATTGATTAATACATCAAGATATATACAATTAAAAATTGAAATTACCGCCATACAGCGAGGTAGGTTGCGCATGCAACGCCTCTATGTGAAATCGTTCCCAGGTCGTCGGGAACTACGTAGTGACTACCGGGTTCATATGGTTCTGTGTTAGATGTCGCCACCAACTTCTACGTCAAACGTTTAACAGTTCTTGGACGACAAGCCGTATGAATTCAAAACAATAATGGCCTATTGTATGGAAATTGAATATATAAATCGTATTTTTCTTTTATCTATGATACAAGTGTATGTACTAATTTATATATTATTTGATGCTTACTAGCCGCCTCAGTGTTAGAGGAAATTGGATACATCGATTACAAATGTATGTACTGATTTAAACAATATTAGAAGTGTAGAAATACTACTTAATTTCATGTGTACTTTTATAAACAAATATGTTTATTAAAAGTCATGATGTATTATATGAGAAATAATGAGCTGATTTTCAAAAATATCCAGTAAACACAAATTGGTTATTATTAAATTTCAAATGAAAATCATGTATAGTTATTATTTCTGATATTAAATACTATTTTTATGTAATTTATTTAAACCAAAACTTTAATATTATTATGTTATAATATACAGAGTTTGATTATCTAGTAAAAATAAATATATTCTGTAGATATATCTACAGTATAATAATTTATTGAAAGATATAGTTTAAAGCACTATAATGACTATATAATATTGTTTTAAATGCATTTTGTTATAAATAAATATATTTATTACAGGTGCTTATAACTTATGAAAAATCAACAAAATAACTTAACTCAAATATGATATATTGATGAATTATGGAATGGCATACCATTTCCTTCTATTTGCATTTTAAATAAAAAAAACAAGGATGATGAATAGAAGATCACAACTTCGAGTAAGTTTTGTTGCATGTGACATTTATTCTATTCAAATGAAAACTTAAATATCCAAATATATTTTCCAATGAATTAACCAATCAAATATATATCACCCATATTCTTTAAATAAATTATCGTATGGAAATTTTTATGTAAATTTATGTATTTGTGTACATATTTCAAATCTACAATTTTTAATATAAAAATGTATCTATCAAATATCTAAAGACTTTGCCATTTTACCGTATATATTCATATCAAATATCCAAAGACTAATAGGTGAATTTCACAATGTTTTAAATTTCTATTTGAATTTCGCGCTTTAAATTGTACAAGTGGCCACAGACTTTTTGACACATGTTGCTAACTTTAATTGCTTCGATTGTCAAAGAAATTTTCGTGGATTAACATGCGCTCGGTTAATTAAGACTTTTTAATTAAAGCTTTGATTAGTTTTAATTACTTTATACATCAAAACGTGTAATTAATTTAGTAGATCAATTTTATATAATAAAAAATGGGTATGTTTGGAAGTGCCTAGTGTACCTTGAATAGTTTGATAAGTATCTCTTTCAGGGTCTCCATTTTCAATCAGTTTTATAATTAAACAATGTATTTACAGTGCCAATGTATCCTTTAATTATATACTTGAGTAGTACCTTGTATAGTATACTACCTTGAATAGTTTGATAAGTATCTCTTTCAGGGTCTCCATTTTGAATCAGTTTTATAATTAAACAATGTTTTTACAGTGCCAATGTATCCTTTAATTATATACATGCAATTATCAATAGTATAATTTATATATGTGCTTTTGTAGGTACTTCCAACACATATCTGTTATTATCGAATTCTAAATTCACGAAAGTCTCTAATATAAGTCGTGTGTCGTGTATTGTGTAAAGACTTTACTCAGACAATTGCAACATGTCAAATATACTTATAAAAGAGTAAAGTAATGTAGTGGTTCTAAAGTAGTGATTTTGTGTCGACTACTTGAGATTTCTAGTTGATGCTCCAGAGGTGGTTCGAGTAATGACTTAGTGTTTTGGGAGCTGCTGCAGAGGATATCTAGCAATGTAAGTGTAAAGCATGTTTTATACATAGCGAGTCAAAGAATATTTTTCTGGAATTATATACAGATATTTATCGTACTATATCTGTTGCTGTAAATTATAAAGAAATTGATTATGTACCAGTCCAAACGGTAAAGAAAAGTATCTAAAAAAGGTTTTATATAAAATTGAGAAGCAAAAATCATTTATCTGTAATAATTTATATATCCATTTCACTAATATTTTTAAAATGTTAAAAACACTCGTTTTTTCGAGAATATTTGTAACTTTTGAATTCAAAGCAGTCAAATGATTTTGAAAATCTTTACTTCAACACAATATTGTTTGTCATCTTTAGTGAAACTATAATTTCAATAGAAATAAATAAAAAGATATTACTTATAATTTATGTTCTGAAAGGAGTTTACAATTATTGACCGAGCTTGTGTTACATGCTATTTTTTATGTTTGTAACAATAATATTTCTTATTAATTATGTATTTAATGCTTGTTTTTCATATTAAATGATATTAATAAATGATAATTAGTTTGAAGGTGCCTTAAGAACTTGTCACTTTGTTATTCAATATCATTTATAAACCAGTCTGTATATATTTTAGTGGAATATTTTTTGGCTCGTGCATTATTAATATAATTATATACATATATCTGCTGAAAAAATTGTTTATATCATAATATTTGAGTCAATGACATTTTTTACATAGTATACCTTATATAATCTATTTTTTGTTTATTCAACAACAACTATTATGCGAATAAAAGATTTTAAATTAATTTGGCAGACATATGTGTAAAAGACTTAAAATCTTATTTAATTTGTTATGGGAAAAACATGTTGATTCAGTCTTTTTTCATTTATTAATACAAGTGCCTTTTATACATGTTCTAAATCAATATTAAACAATAAAGTTTGTACTTCTCATATGTATCAAAGATATTGAAAGTTACATTATTATTATTCCATAAATAGTCAATCTGAATTTTTTTTGTTCTATAATAACACTATGAGCTCACTTTGTGTTGAATTCAGAATTTTTACATAGTAAATTTTTGTTACTAAATTATTAGTTAACCCATACAGCTTTTTGTATGCATCGAATACTTATTTGTTGAAGGGGTCCTAGCACCCCACCTTAGGTAACTCCTAAATTGATGGTATTTTGTTACAAATTACAAATTACAAATTTACTTTGTTGCTTTTCTATTACACCTCTTGTTTATTATTCCACGGAAACAATTTTTAAATTACATTTTCAGTATCAAGAATCATGTGTTTTTCCTGTAGCGATATTGATAGCATGTACATTATTATTTATGGATAACACGATTGCTGGTTTTGATCAAAATATTTCAAATACTCAATACGACTTACCAAATTGTTAAATAATGCAGGGTTTAAAAGTTTTTCATCATAATTTCATTTTAAATTTATTCAATTATATTGCTGCATAGCTAATTTATAGATTTTTATTCTTTTATTGCTAAAAACAATTTGGATCAGGACATTCAATCAAAGTTTTGAAGAGTTGACTTGAATGATTAAACAAATCATAATTTTGTGTACAAGTTTATTATTCGATTCAAGTTGTAAAAATTATTTAACTCAATTTCTAAATAATAACAATCAGCTTTAAATCGTTTTGAAGTCAAATTTTTGAACATTTTTTATTAGTTCATTTTACAAGTTTTATTGAATTTTATTTATGGTTTTTTTCAATAATTTGTATATTATTCAAGTCAACTACATTTGTTTTTGCCTCAATTAATTGTAAAGGTTTCACATGTTTTATCAAGTCATATATTTATATTTTTGATTCAATTAATATCATTTCATTTCATCAATTAATTAAAATTTTTTTTTCCAAGTCCAATTTTTGTGAAACCTTTTCGATTGAGACAGACGAGTTAATTTTGCATGCTATATCATCCCAAAGTATAATTTGTTATGGGGAAAACATGTTGATTCAGTCTTTTTTTAATTATTTACACAAGTGCCTTTTATACATGTTCTAAATCAATATTAAACAATAAAATTTGTACTTCTCGTATGTATCAATTACATTGAAAGTAATTTATTATATTACAATTCCATAAATAGTTAATCACAAATTTTTTGTTCTATGAATAGCAGATTTTGTGTGGAATTCAGAATTATTATTCATATTAAATTTTTGTTACCAAATAATTAGTTAACTAATAATGCATTGATTACTTGTTCGTTGAAGTAGCCCTAGCACCCCGCCTTATGTAACCCCTAAATTGATGGTATTTTGTTACAAATTACAAATTACAAATTTACTTTGTTACAAAAATTTCTTTGTTATAACACCTCTTGTTCACTATTCTACGGAATTTTTTTTTTAAATTACATTTCTAGTATCAAGAATCATGTGTTTTCCCTGTAGCGACATTGTCTGCATGTACATTCTAATTTATGGATAATACGATTGTTGGTTTTGATCAAAATATTTCAAATATTCAATACAACTTAACAAATTGTTAATTAAATGCAGCTTTTAAAAGTCTTTTTCTGTAGGTTTTATTTTAAATTTATTCAATTATATTTCTGCATAGCTAAATGATAGATTTTTATTCTTTTATTACTGAAAACAATTTTGATCAAGACTTTCAATCGAAGTTTCAAAGAGTTGACTTGAATGATTAGACAAAACATAAATTTGTTTACGAGTTTATTATTCGATTCAATTTTTAAAGGATAACAATCAGCTTTAAACAGTTTTGAAGTTTTTAATGTTCAAGTTTTTGAACTTTTTTTATTATTTCATTTTACAAGTTTTATTGAATTTCTCTTAAGGCTTTTTCCAATAATTTGTATATTATTCAAGTCAACCATATTTGTTTTTGTCTCGATTAATTGTAAAGGTTTCACATGTTTTATCAAGTCATATAAACAATTTTGATTCGATTAATATCACTTCATTTTATCGATTAATTAAATAATTCTTTCAAAGAATTTTTTTTTTCTAAGTCCAAATTTTGTGAAACCTTTTCGATTAAGACAGACGAGTTATTTATGCATGCTATATTATCCCAAAGCCAACATTCGAATGAGTTAGACCCGCATTGAAAATTTCATAACGAGAAAATTTTATTGGGGCAAAGTTAAAAATTTTAACTAAGTCCCAGTAATTTTTTCTCGTTGTGAAAATTTCAACGTGGACTTCATTTCATTCGAGTGTTGGCTTTGGGAATTGGTGTGAGGGAACACTAAAAAACATAAAAAAGTTTCAACGTTGAACAGAAAAGAGAAATTTTCATCTGGGACTTAAGGGGTTTTTTTTAGGCTTCCCACCTCCCCCTTCTCCCTCTTCCTCCTCCTTCCTCCCCCCCTTTTTTCGCTTTTTTTTCATATTTTTTTCCTTTTTTGGTGTTGTTTTTTCACATGTTGTGGTATTTTTTGAAGATCTTTGGGTTCGGCATGCATCGTCCGCAATGTGTCTCTCTGTGTGTAACCTCTCGCATCATGAACCTCAGGTTGACCATCACTTCGCGTGTATGTTTCAGGACCTCCGCGCGTCTGCCAACAGCCAGCCACCAGCACTGCTCCATTTTTTCTGCTTCAGAGTTGGTCGTCGTCGTCTCCAGCTGGATTCGATCCATCTCACTTTGTGCCTCCAGAGTGATGTCACCGAGTATGCGGTCACCTTAACCACTCGGCTATTTGATATATTGATGATAATAGTTATTTTATATTCTTATAATGTATTAATATTGAATTTTAATAAAGTATATATATCATACCCATCTCTCTTATTCATCACCTGCCTCCACCCTTCTCTTTTCCCCATTCTTCCTCTACCTTCGTCATCTCTCTCTTTATATCGCTCTCTTACAGTCAAGTGCGAACCTTGAGTTTTTTGTTTTTCAGAAATATTCTAAGTGTCAAGGTCGAAATGCGCCACCTGAATTTAATATTTTGAACTATTATTTGATAATTATGAAAAACTAGAGATTCGATTTTTGAAGCCTCTTGGGGATTTGAACCGAGAAACAACGAGCAACCGTAGTGGCAACTTAACGATCTCGGCCAACCGCTAGACATAAAAGATTTCTATTTGTAAAAATATAAAGTTTTATTTTTAAATGAAATATAATATGCCAAATAAAAATATGCCATTTCAAGTGAGCGAATGGCCGAGGTCGTAAAGATGCGGTTGTGGCCGGAATAACAAATCGAGGTTCGAGTGTTCGAACCCATTATTTATCTGAAAAAAAAATCAGTAATTTTTAAATAAATAAGATATCTAGATAAGTAATTAAATTTATTGAGTATTACAAAATCGATATGTATATATATATATATATATATATATATATATATATAAGAAATAGTAGGGAGTGGAAAAAATGTTTAATAAATTCGTATTTACGCCTTGTTAGCAGTAAACCAAACATACTTTGGTGTAATTTAAATTTTTTTCATTTTTATTAGATTTATATGCCGATATTACTCCATATAAAACCGGTTTTTCAGGAGCTTCCAAAATTGACCAAAATCGTGACTTCCAAATGCAATTTTAAGGCCCTTAATGAATGAAATTGATAATTTTAATGAATGCATTATGTAGACAAAAGTACAATCTTCATACCAAACCAAAAAAAAATACAAATTTATCATCGTCTTCATAGTTAAAATCAGTTTCAAATTTGGAAATTTTTTAAACTTCAAGTTGGTCGTAGGGGTAGAAGGAATTTTTTTTTTCAAAAGCTGATTTCATATTCGGAATCAGCGATTCGAAAAATATCAGAATAGGTCAAAACATTTTGAAAATCGCTAAAAAAAATGTTTATTTCATTAGTAAAATTTTGATTTAGCAACCAAAAATTTCCATTTTTCGCAGAGGTATGCAGATTTATCTAAAAACGGATAACATTTTCAAATTCATCGACTCCAAATCTATCAAAACCAATCAAAACATTTTGAAAATCGCGAAAAAAAACTCGATCTTTGAAAAAAAATGACTTTGCAACCAAAGTTTTTGCCGTTTTATTTTTATGAACTATTCAAAGTTTTTATCGTTTTTATTTTTGTATCAAATATTCAAAGATATCTATCCACAGAATTTTTAACAAAGCTTTTGCCGTATTTATTTTTATGAAATATTCAAAAATATATGTCCACTGATATTTTAACAAAGTTTTTGCCGTTTCAAACATTTTTCCCCAAAAAATCAAAGAATAGTTTTTCCCTAAAATTTACATAAAAACTAGTTGGTTTGGTATTTTGCCTTGAGGCAAGTTACATGAACTTCCCGATATGTGTAATTAATCGACTTAATCAATAAAAACTAAATTAATTTATGAGTAAAAGTATTCCGAGTGGATTTATTACACACAATTGAAAACGAGCGAATACTTTGACACGGAGTATTTTCTAAAAGTGAATTTTCAGAAATCAACAATTGTTATAATTGAACCAGTTTCAAATAAAGTAAAATGTGTTAAAAAAATAAAGTGTATCCATGATATTTTCAAATTGAGTGAAACGTTAATAGTTTTAACTTGATACTTGACTCATCATCAATGCATTTGCAAAATGACATTTTCATTGAAAATACGTGGAAATTAAAAGAAACTTGATTTTCCGCTTTTCTGAGAGAACAATAGAAAAAAATATCCGCCCTTAACTCCCGGCTTGAAATTACTTTTTGCTGTCCTAGAATCAAATGAACCCACTTTCAATTCCCAGGGTGAAATTTTAATTTTTTCATATTATCACTAGACTTTGATGATATATTATAAACACAATCTATAATATATTAGGATCAGTGTTGTTAGTCAGATATTAAACTGCAAAGTCCACTTTAATTATCCAAATCCAAAATTTGGAATCAAACATATGTCTAAATTGTTGCCTTTGTCATTTCATTCCTTTAAAACTGCTTATTAAAAATTTAATTATTTTGAGTCATGACTGGTTTATTTTTATGTGAAAAAAATACATAAGAAGAAATCAAAATGATTAAAAAATGAGTAGATTTAGTATTGAATAAGATAATACCATAACCAATTTGAAATATTGTAGTAAATGAAACCCAATTTTAAAACAATTTTAATTTATTTTAATGGAAAATATATCACATAGATATACTCGTATATTTCGACATATAGATGCCGATCAATTGCATCCATTATATTATCGTTATACATCTTCATTCACAGTCTATAATATGTCTATAAAAGATAAAGATTTTTGAAAATGTCTAACATCATTTTGATTATTAAAAATTGTAATATATTATAAGTAATATTTCAAAAAAAGTTATCACTGGCTTTTAAGACATTTTCTTGCAAAACCAGCATTGAAAGCATTTTTCAAAAACTTTACTTTAAATAATTTTACAGTGTTTCTATACAACACTGTACTACTATACTATATACACATATGTACATTATAAAGATAAATTACTATTACTATTTTTTAAATATGGTGTATCTCTTACAATTAACTCCAGCCTATGTTCTTATTATATGATTTTGATTCTATCTTAGTACTAGAAGAATTTGTGTTGAGTAAGCTATTATCTTTGTTCAAAGAGTCACTTAAATGACTTTTTGCTTTATAACTGTTATTATCTTGTGTTCCTGGTTTCAAATTATACTCCAAATTATTTATCAGGTTGAGCTTAGCATTTAATTCATTTTTCTTCTCATAACTTAATTTAGTCCTAGTATGATTTTGCACAAGTAATGGCAATGCTGAAGTAGACGTTTTACCTGTGCTATGATTGGAAGATGTGTCAGTACATCCATTATCACATACCTGCAGCAGCAATGGCATGCAGTTTAGACTATTTGTGGGACCAGAATAGTGCATCTGCGCTGGTGCTCCAGGTATATAATGACTTCTGTAATAAATATTTATTGAATTATTTATTTAAAAATTGTTTTTTAAACATTAAACCTATGATAACAAGAAGAGCTGAATGACATTAATGGTTTTATGAAATAATTAGTTATGATTCATTGAAAGAAGTTAATATAAATTATAATTAAATAAATATGAAAAATAATATATAAAAATAATATGTAACTAGTGGTGTATGACATCGTGCCTTAAGGCAAATTGCTGGAACTTCCAGGACTGTAACGTTCGAGAAATATTAAATGTTTTCAAATAGATTATTATAAATACTGTAACATTGTCTAATATTTATAAGAATTATATAAACTGAATTTCAAAGCGAGCATTAGAACTTCAGCTAGAATTAAAATTAAAATCTGAATTATTTTCGATATACAAAAAAAATTAAATATTTTTTCCAAAAGCAATTATTTTATTAAAACAAGCAGAAAGTTTTTTGAATCATTCAAATCGGATGCTTGGTTCTCTAAAAAACAGCCGTTTTTTGCACATTATCTCCAAAACGGCCTTTGCCAAAAATTAATCAGTGCATCTTTCTTTCAATAGGAATCGAATGTTTTTTTAACCATTCAAATCGGTTGATCTGTGCGCCCGAAAACGTGGACGAAAAATTGTATCCATAAATACATACATACATACACACACACGCACACCGTTTTTTTTTTAAGTATGCCAAAATGTTCAGAAACCTTCAAAACGTGAAGAAATGTAAAAAAATTCAATTTCGATTTTAGGACGATTATAATAACTTACTCTTCCGGAAGTTAAAAAAAAATACATCATGAAATTAAATTATTGTTAGTGTTAGATAATATAGTAGCAAAGTTTGCGCAGTCTTCAATTAGTACAAAATACGTATCCGGATTTATTTGAATTTTCAAAAATATCGTAGGTTCTTAGCCGCTAATTACATCAGTTGCATTTTTAAAATATGATTGGCAAAACACTGAATATTGAAATAGAAATTGACATGGTGGGTTTAAAGGAATCGATTCACGTTGAGTATGCAAAGTGCTATTAGTTTATTATATTATTGCCAAGGGTTTAGGGAAAAACGAGATTGAGGAACAATGAGCATAATAAACGCAAAACTTTCAAATGTTTTTTTAGCATATGTTTTACCACATTTTGTGTTTTCTACCAATTTTCAAATTCATTCAACTTTACTAGTTGAAAAATTCAAATATATATAATGTATAAAAAATGTAAAATTCATAAAAAGCGGTTGAACTTTATTAATGGTATTAACCCTTAACAAACGAATGTCGCCATAATTGCGACATTGTAAATATACATACTAAAAAATCTAATGCCGCCATAGTCTAATTTTGGCCTTTTTCTGTAATTTTCAATATGGCCACAATATCCTTAGAAAATAAATTTTATCAATGGTCAACAAGCAATATTATTAGAAGAATTCCATTCTATTCAAATACAATAAAGCGATATTAATTATGCACTTTCTCGAGCTCTGGAAATAAAGCACTATAGTGAGATGGACGGATTTTTAAGGAATGCATTTCTTAAAAACCCGTCGATCTCCTGGGCATAGTTTTAGATAATGCGTAGATAGGGGTACGACAATGGTTATTATTGAATTTTCTGTCCGATTTCAATGATTTAAAAAAAAATCAATTTACAGTACTAATGATGACATCCAAAACAAACCCATGAGAAATATATGAGCAATTTACAAATGCTCAACAAGTTTTCATTTATTAGAGATTATGAGAACAATTTATAAAGTCTTGATTGATACCCACCCTAACTTTGAAGCCTGATCATTCACCCCCTCAGTTTTCAAAATCTTCACAGCCAAAGCTATCAGGACGAACAAAATTAAAGCACCACAAATAGGAACCGCTATTGTTGCTGCTTTGAACCAATCATCATTGATGGCGTTTCCAGATGTCGACGTTTGACTGTCGTCATACAATTCAGTTCTTGTTACCCCGCCTGCAAAAATCAAAATGTGAACACGTCATTAAGCAATCGGCGCAATGACAAATACATATTTTTTAAGAATATAAGCATGGTTCTGCTAAAATCATTAAAAAAACGCATTCATTACACTCTTATAATAAATCTTGTGAAATAAAACCTTCATAATACAATTGAATGCACGGTTAATATGCCGTTAAAATTATTTAAAATACAGCCAAATATTTTATTCAAGGCTATCTCATAGTGTGAGCAATATTGATTCAGCCGTAAGATTATTATGTGGTTCTGATTATTGCAAGCATCATTGAAAATATAAAACCATCTTAATTAGCTTACCAGTATAAATTGTGCTTAAATTTCTGATGTCTAAATTGTCCACGTGATTGCACATATCCTTAAAGCAACACCACATCAAGCCAACATTAGAGGCATTTGCACCTCGCGACGCATTATAGCACTCCAAGCCTTGTTGCCTGGAATAAATTATTAACAATTAATAATATGCCGCAATGAATAATCGCAACAAAAATATTAATATGCATCTAATTGAAAAAATAACATAGTCTTGACGATTGATTTCTTAATAAAGGATTTCCTGATACACTTTGAGGTAAATATATACTAGTGCGGTCTGTTAAGAGTAAATAATAATAGTATATATATATATATATATATATATATATATATATATATAAACACATACACATACATATAAAAAATGTATTTTCTCAGTTTACTTTCATTGCGCTCTCTGTGTATTTTTATCAAGTAATGATAAGAAGATTTAATTGAAAATTATAAAATAGTTATATGAAAAATTTAAAGTTTTCGATACGACGGCTAAAATATTTGAATGGCCAAAAAAATATTATTTCATGCCACAATAATGCGTGATTGAAATAAGCATTTGATATCATTGAGCAATTCTTGTCCAGGCAATTGAACATAGCTATCTGAGTTGAAATCGAATTTTATGCTAATCGGTAAATTTAAAAAAAAAATAATGGCAATGATAATCCTACTATAGAATATTTTGGCTATTTCATTGCAGTGAATCATTTCATAAGTACTTCAATTATATATTAATATTAATACTAATTATATATTATATCGAGAATTATTTTGAATTTTGAAATTTCAACTATACATTGATAGTGACTATGTTGAGTTCGCGATTTTTGCTTTTTGTGGGTCTAAATGGGTCTAAAGAAAAAATTAATGCCTCTTCAATTAAAGCGTGCGATTATTGAAAAATATGAGGATGGCGAGGATGTAAGAGCGTGACAACTCATAGATAATAGAAAAAAAGGGGATGATAAAGGTTATAACAATAATTCATTTTCATTTCTGAGCTCTAAATATGGATAAAAATTACCCCGAAAAGGTTGCAACAATTCGAGCATGAGAATTGTTCAACGAAACATGTCCAAATTCTTCCTGCAATATCGTGAATAGACAGGAAAAAACAAATAAATTAATAAACAGCAAATTTAATTTTAATGTTTAAAAAATTTGACAAAAACCACAGTGCTGGAACGAATTAAAGGTATTTCAATGTATTTATATGGGAAAAATTGCTTCGAGATACGAGCGATTGGACGTACGAGCATGGTTACAGAAGGAATTAAACTCGTATGTCGAAGTAACACTGTATTTCTATATAAAAATATGAAAATTTTCAAGTTTTAATCTTTAATATATTATTTCGGTTTAATATTTGAAAAATAAGGAGAGTGCCAGTATAAATTCAACAATGCCACATACCACTAGTTATCAAATATATGAAACTAGTTAACTTCCCGTAGGGCAAGTTATAGTAATCGCAAAAAATCGAAAATGAAAATTTTTATATATTTCTACGTTTCAGAGGTTTCTGAATATTTTGGCATATCTTAGAAAAAATTGATGTATGTGTGTGTGTGTGTGTGTGTTCGGATACAAATTTTCATCGACGATTTCGGGAACACGGATGAAGCGATTTGAATAATTCAAAAAACATTCGATTCGTATTGATAAGGAGACGTGCTGATTAGTTTTTGGCGAAGGCAGGTCTAGCCGTTCCGAAGATACGGGGCAAAAAGTGCCAAAAGCGGTAATTTTTAAGAGAACGGAGCGTCCGATTTTAATAATTCAAAAAACATTTTACTTGTATTGACAAGGTGAAGAACCGATCAAATTTTCATAAAGGCAGGTCTAGCGGTTTCGGAGATCTAATGAAAAAAGTAAAAAAAAATGCCATTTGGCGGTCAAAAATGATCATTAGACATATGCACATCAAATTATCATATATTTTATAGAGATTTTAACAATAAGTATAAATTTGGTTTACATTCCTATGGGTTGTTCTGTACCAATGTTTATCCGTTAGACGGCTGGGCCGTTACGCGCTATGATATTTCTATATGCAGTCTATATGCAGTTAAAGCAGTACGATTGCTTTGAAAAAAATGTTCTGAATTACCAAAATATTTAAAAATAATTTTTTTTCAAAAAAAATTTTTTTCAAACGAAAGTGAATTTTTGTCAAAAATTTATAGTTTCTCAAAAATCTGATTTTTTCAGAGTAAATTTTTTTCAAAAATGTCAAAAAAAAAAAATTGGTACGGTAAGTTCCAGCAATTTGCCTTAAGGCTCAATGCCATGCACCCCACTAGTTTAACTTACAATTCGGCTAAAAATTCGATGCAACCGTGTCGTGCGCGATACGTGTCCTTTTGCTTGGCTTGGCTGCGATCGGCCGCGTCTGAGAAACAGCCGCCTCGTTCCGATCGGCACATGTAACTGGTGCCCACGCACACTGGCAGGTTGCAGTAGCACCGGACGGCGCCGACATCTGAAAGACGAACGAATTAGTAATTATCAACAGACCAACAGACCTATGAAGCGCTCTATACCCTAACTGTATAAACAACTTGGGTGCGTATGTTCATCCAGTGCAACGTATACCATTTGGGTACTACTGTTTGAAATTATAAATTCCACTTACTGAAAAAAGTAAGCACCCTCACCAAATACGTCAGGGGCCGTCCATTAAACACGTGAGCTAGTTTTTAAGCATTTTTTGAGCCCCCTCCCTCTTGGTGATACGTGGTGATATTCAAAATTACCCCCCTCCCCCACCAAACATCACGTGTATTTTTCGTTACATGAAAACTTTCTTCGATTCTTTTTTTGAAAATGTTTGATTTTTAAAAAAAAAATCAGTTAAAATATAAATACACGTGATATCTTACCATACCCCCCTTCCCAACGTGTTGTTTCGTGAGTTTTTGTCTAACCCACCCTCCCCCTAAAAAACCTCACGTGATTAATGGACGCCCCCTCAAGTGAAACATTTATAGTTACGTATTGCTAAAATTTTAAAGTTTTATTTCTAATATTAACATTACAATAATAACACTTTACTTCATTAAATAAGATTTCCTAAATGTTCGTTCTCCTCACTGAATAAGAACTCTACATTTTAGGTACTAGCGATGTACCAACTCGAATCAAGTGATTCGAATTATAGTTGGGTAACTCCGGAGTGAGTTAGGTCAGAGGATACAACCTCTCTCTCGGAGTTAATCCGAGCGGTGTTGTATCAGAGAATGTTTCATATCCGACTTCCTTAACCACTTCGGTACGGTGCCTACTGTCCAACAAATACTTTAATATACAAAGGAAAATGAACATGCTGTACTTTTAATTGCATGCCAATGGTATGGGCAGGAACAGAAATAAGTCAAGACAAACCTATTTGTTTCAACAAGCTTAATAAATATTACTAATGTGATTTACCATGCCATGTTTTCAAACAAATTATTACAACTCTCCTGTTTCTATATAAATGTTGTAGAAAAATTTAATTAACATTGAACAAACAAAAACAATAAATTTATAATTGCCAATAAAAATTGTGAACATTTTAAAAAAATATTTTTTTATTTTCCAATAGGCCCTATTGTCCTGCAAAATAGCAGCTTTGCTGGGTTTACAAAAATTGATTTGTTTTCTAATTTTGATTTTTTTATTTCAATCGATCATTGCACTCTATGATGAAAGCAAGGATGCGAATACACAAGAAGGACTATAGGAGCCTCAATGAATATCAATTCAATCTAATGAAAAATATGTAAAAAGTTTATTAACGCTTCTTTTTCTTAGCAGAAGAATGACAGCGAAACCAAGATTCGAATTCTATTTACAAATACATTTTAAAAGAGAAACACCGAGCGAAACCGAGCGGCGGTAGCAATCTGAAATCCACATAGATTCCACATGCATGTCACATTTTAATGAGAAGATTTTGACATTTCAAAAACATTATTGATTGAGTAGTAGTTGAAACTAGTGATGTATAAATCAGAATGTGTAATTTACAAATTTAAAAAATTTGAGTACATGGCATTTTGTAAATAAGAGATTCAAAAAAGACCATCGAATAACCCTACTGAAAAATGTAAATGAAATTTTGAGAATACGATTTTTTGCAGAAAAAAGAGTTTAAAGTCATTAAAAAAACAGAACGTCTTGAAATAGATTAATTTTATCCTGCTGGAAAAAACATAATTGCAAGGTACGTATGGTTCAAGCACTCGATCGAGCAACCACGGTAACATATACTAAAAAAAATTATTTATTTAAATTAATACCACTTTATACAAATATAACTTCATGTAAGAATAAGCTGAGCCTGTACGAATCGTCTCAAATTTTAAAAGTGAACGTTTTTTTCGTAGATTTTGTTAATTCTCTCCACCTTATTAATTCAATATCAATTTTATTTTTGTAAGTAGATCTCTGCAACCCAGAATTCTATGCTTCATCACTCACACATCTATAAATGTAAAAATTTCATATTTGTGATATAACAAAAGACTCGAACTCGAAAGCTTTTGGATGGTGTGCAGCAGGCATTAGAAGAAGCCAGGTTCGTTCAAGAATTCAGTCGAAGTCTGCGCAGTGCGCATATAAATTAGTTATTAATATTACTGCAGGTAGGTGCTTACAAATTGTGTTTGAATAATCGCAATGCTCTAGCGTAAATGCAAGCTCCTAAATGATTAATTGCAGGCAGCTCTCTTTTGCGTACAAGAATATCGTTATAAAATATACGATATACAGTTGTGATATTAAAACAAATACAAGGTTCGTGCATTAATCAGAAGAGAATCGAGCAAGAGCATTGACCATAACCACAAAAACACGTCTTTATATGGAGTCTTTAGTTCTACTGGGAGCTGTGTGAAATCCGATCTTGGATGTGTGCGAGCAAGAGCAAGAGAAACAGCCGCATTCGATAATTCATTAACATTCCGTTCATCAACATCGTACGGCTGCGGCACGTTATGTAAAACAAAATTAAACAGAAAAAAAATCATCGAAAAATATCATCAAGCAATTTCTAAAGCACTCGCAGACCGTGCCATAACTTGTGCAAACAAGCCAGGCACAAGTATCAAAATTTAAGCAGGAACTATCTTACCAATACTAGATCATTTCTATTCTGACCGCCAATTGGCATTTTTAACTTCCCGTAGGGTAGTTATAGTAATGGGCCGAAAATCTAAAATGAAAATTTTTGCATTTCTCGACGTTTTGAAAGGTTCTGAACGTTTTGTCATGCCTCAGAAAAAATGGATGTGTGTGTGGGTTTTGCATGTACGCATTTTTTCGTCCACATTTTCGAGCGCACGGATCAACCGATTTGAATGGTTCAAAAAACAATCGATTCCTATTGATAGGGAGATGTGCTGATTATTTTTTGGCAAAAGCAGGTCCAGCCGTTACGGAGTTACGAAGCAAAAAATGCAGAGAATACAAATCGAGGTTTTGAGAAAATGGAGTATCCTGATATAAAAAACATTCAAATAGTAATGATTGTGAGAAGTGGTGATTAGTTTTTAGCAAAGGCAGGTCCGGCCATTTCGAAGATACGTAGCTAAATGTGCAAAAAAATGGCAGTTTTTGAGTGAACTAAGCATCCGATTTGAATCATACGAGAAACTTTCTGTTTGTTTCAACAAAATAATTACTTTTGTAAAAAAAATTTGTTTTTATCTTTTTTTTTAAAAAAAATGTTTTTTTTTATATCGAAAATAATTCAGGTTTTAATTTTAATTCTGTTCTAATATACAAATAATTTCAACTTTGCAATTCAGTTTATATAATTCTTATAGATATTAGACAATGTTACAGTATTTATAAAAATCTATATGAAAACATTAAATATTCCTCAATTATTTCTTTACGGTACGGGAAGTTCCAGCAATTTGCCTTAAGGCACGATGCCATACACCACTAGTTTTTTACTTTTTTTTACTAGATTTGCCGAAACCTGTCTTTTCAAAAATATAATCAGTTCTTGAAATTAACACAAGCAAACTTTTCTCTGAATTAATAAAATCGGACGCTCTGTTCTCTTGAAAACTCAGTTACCGTTTTTGGCACTTTTTGCCCCGTATCTTTGAAACGACTTGACCCGCCTTTGACAAAAACTAATCAGCACGTCTGCTTATCAATAGGAATTTAATGTTTTTTAAATCATCATTAAAATCGGTTGAACTGTGTTTCCGAAATCGTCGACAAAAATTTGTATCCGATCACACTCACGCACATACATACATCCATTTTTTCTAAGGTACGCCAAATGTTTAGAATCCTCTGAAAGGTCAAGATATATAAAAAATTTCATTTTTGATTTTTTGCGATTACTATAATTAACCCTACGGGAAGTTAAAAATTATACGTGAGAAAGTGATTCAAAATTACGAAAGAACTATTCGTATAATAATTGTTAGCACGATTTCTCGGAATTACGATAAAATGCTCAATTCTGTTTCATTTATAATGACTATGCCATACTATAGCCGAAAAGACGATCAGTTAAGTACCTTTCGAATACCTTATTAACTTAAATTTTCTTTTTTCAAAATACATATAACGAACTGGTTTCGAATTTTATATCTATAATTTTCTAAGTATATAGAGTCGAAGTCAGAGATAATGATGATGACGAGTTGATTGGTTTGGGCCCTACGCATGGTAACATGGCAAAGCGCATGAGAAGCCGAAAATGTTCGGTGAACGACTGAGGAAGACAAACAGAGTCGTCTACTCCAGGGCTTCTAAAACTTTTTTATATAGCGACCCCCTTCAAGCTTAGGAAATTTTAAACGACCCCCTCCTCCAAATAATAAAATATATATTAACCGTTATCGCACTATTTTACAATGTAAATAAAATAAGAATTGAAGAATATGTACCCATTCATGTTATATATAATTAGAAACGTTGACATAAAACTATATATATATATATATATATATATATATATATATATATATATATATATATATATTAGAGATGGGTAACTCACTCCGGAGTTATCACTCCGATACAACTCCCCCCTCGGATTGATATTTAAAGTATAGTAATAGTATTTAAGCAGCAAAAAATATATAATATTGAATTTTTACTTTTACAGAAATATATAATTGTTTAAAAGTAATAATATGCTAATCGAAATACCCGATATAATATTAATTCTCGAATGGAAATAGCAGAAGAAAAATTAGAAAGCAGAAGTATTATTATTTAGTGAAAATATTTTATGATAAATGCTTTGCTGTTATTAGAAAGTTTACTATATTATTTTTATATAGAATTAATCCAAAAAACAATTATTTTCTCATCAAAAGAAAATAATTAAATTGAATTTGATTCGCAAGTTTTGCGTTTTTACTTTGGTCAACACTGTTAAAATTAGGAGTCATTGAGTCGATCATGTGGTCGACTGGTGGTAGTATCACTGTGGTGTGGTAGTATCATTTGTTAATTCGGTAAATTCTT